AAAATAATCAGAAATTTGAATAAACAGTGTTTTTGTGGTAAGTGCAATTGGTTGACTTCTGACATATCGTCAACCATTTTTTTAAATTTTTCTTACTTTTTCAGCTCGATTTAATCACAAATTCGATGAAGTACAGGCGTGTAGACAAGAAATTGCTCAGATATTGGACCAAAAACTTTCTAAGCAAGGCCTGTCTTCGGTAAGTAAAATTTGTTTTAGTGTTCAAGTCTTCGAAATTGCAAACGGAATTTAGGATTGCTTTTATATTGGGCGAAGGACTGATTTTAAAAACATGTGTTTGTTTCTTATTAAAGGAAAATCCAAGACTGTCTTCACAGAAAATGGAAGCCAAGATGGCGGCACTGAGAACAGAGAGACAAGCTAGGAGTAAGGTGAGTAGTATTGGTTACAGTGTAGACCATTAATTTTTGTTTTCTTCAAGGCCTTGTTTTCTCTCCCTAAGTTTTCCATAGATTTCATGTTGTCTCCATTATCTTTCTTCCAGAAAATTAAGAACTTCACCGCAGTTAGACAAAGGTAAGGGAAAACTTTTCGCCCTTTTTGTTGTTATAATGTTTAATGGAGACCCCATGCAAGCTGCTAAATTGAATCGTCTTGTGTACGTGTTGCGGGCCTAGTTTTCACACTTTGATTTCTTTAGGTGTGTGGAAATGTTGGAAGAAATCGTAAAGAAGACCTACCGCAGTGGAACTTCCACAGGGAAACCAGGCTCATCAGGTTTGAGTGAAATTTTAAACTCGTTATGACTTCCACAATAAACCAACAGAACCCCCAACAATGCTGGGTAATATTTGGCAGGAAGGACATAAATAGTCTCGTGTAATTTTCGTTGTAGTTCCCGCGGGTCCAGGTTCCGATTACCGTTCCCACAAGGATAAACCTCCAACATTCAAGTCCACTGCAACTGCCGTGCGTACTTCCACTTCACTGCAGCAAGGCCGGAAGTCGCCAGCTTCGAGAGGAACCTTGGTGTCTACTGGGTAAGATTTGAGCGAGCACAGCTGGTGACGCCCTTAACGATGCGTCTGTTGCCTTGGTTCCTCTACTCTTTAAAAAATTTCTGTCAGAATTAGAATTGCTTCTTTCTGTTTTTGTCAGATCAACCAGTGGAGGTGACATGACAGTTAGCGTTACTTCCGTCACGGACGGCTCTTTCTCTGGCACTTCCGTCGTGACAGAGCGGACACTGAGCGAGTCTGAAGAGGAAGTGAGCGTGACTGAAGGATCACAAGAGGAAGAAGAGGAAGATCAAGAAGAAGACGAAGAGGAGTCCAATTGGGACTCAGAGGAGTGAGTACAACAAGAACTTGACCGCAACGTAGCTTGTTCGTTTTACTCCTGAAGGCCCAAATTTTAACGTTTCTTCCTTCATGAAAACAGCTCACCTTAAGTTGACTCACGTCTTATTTCCCTAATTTACATTTCACTTCAGAAACGATTCGTTCAGAGGAAGGGAAGGAGGTGGAACAATTCCAAAGATTTTTTGTCGAAATGTGGTGTTAGGCTTCCAAGTAATGATGCATGCTATTGTTGACTTATTGGCGATTTTTGTTTTTTCATTGTTTGCGTTCGTTATAGAGAAGCCGTTAAACCACCCACTCAGCCTACACACAAAGTGGCAGTTCACATTCCCTCGCAACAGGACGAAGAATCGGATTCAGATATTGAAGAGGTACGCCAGGTATTGAAAAAAAATTAGCGAGTGCAGTGGTGGTGTAGTGTACAACTTGTACTGTGATGTGTAAGGGGCTAGATGGATAGAAAAAGACTTGCAGAGGACGAGAACGTGCAATGATGGAGATGCGCGAGAGGTGGGCAAAGGAAGACGCGCGTTGAAGACGATACGTAGGTGAGAGGACGCATGTAGAATACACGCGAGGGACAGACCTGCGAGTTTGAGGACGAGGTGATAAGTGTGGGAAGCACGCGTGTGAGTTCTGAGTGCGTGAGGGAATATGGGGGTAGAACACGCCCTAGAAAAAATGACGATTAGGGCGGAAATTATTTATGCGGTGGTGCATTCCAGCCTAATCTGGTATCTGTTGTTATGGCTGCAGCCTAACCTGCTAATTATCTTATGCTCCATCATATATTTTAAAAATATTTATGCTATGATACATCTCAGCTTCACGTGGCGTCTGTTTACATGGCTGCAGGCTAACCTGCTAATTCTTTTGTGCTTCATAATATAGTTGGCTCCCGTTAAAACCATTCCTAGGGCTGCTCCGCGCGGTGAAAAGGTGAGTTTTATTCTTTCAAGCTTACTGTTCATTCCGTTTGACGGTGTTGTTTACAGGGATGTTTGAATGATGACCCGAGATCTTCCAGGTGCCAAAGTCCTTGTCCCCTCAGGGTCATTGATCGCACAAGCTTCACCGCCATGTGAAGTCGCCAACTCAAGTTAACGGCCTTATGTACCACTTAGCGCGAAGGAGACAGCTGAGGGCGAAGGGCTCCACTTCTTGCCGAGATCAATGTGTTTTGCCCAGGTCAATAACCCCTTTATCCTCACAGTGCTTCAAACCAATCTTCATTGTTTTTGTCTTTTTTTAAGGTTCGTGAATTGACCGAAACTCTTGAGCGTAGCTTGAACTTCGGATCTGCTGTTAAGAAACCCGCTGGCGGAGTCTCTCTTCACTTCCAGGGGAATGGTAACGATAACAGTGAGCCTCCGCACGCTACAGCTCAGCAGTCATCGGGACGAAAGGTAAAGAGTATGCGCTCGTGGGAAAACTCTCCCTTCATGCTTTATAGCACGAATGTTGTCGTCCTGTTGATGAGGATTTCTTGTTAAGTTGTGATATGTTGAGTCCATCCTGTGGTGTTTTCACACCTCCAGAATTTGATGTCTTTTTTATGTGATTTATCTCGTAGAATGACGATGATTTCGACAGCGATTTATCTATATCCTCTTTGGAAGAAAAGACACCCGGTAGAGGGTAAGAATTTTATAACCTTTCTTACCAATTGATTGATTTACCATGCTTCAGTATTTCAGGGGGGAAGGGGAGGGGAGGGGAAGGTTAATTTCCTGCGAGGCGCGCGCGAGAGAAAAATCTTCATGGGTGTCGTTTTTCTTTGTGCGCACTCCTAAAGCGTCATGCAATACTCTTACTCCAATGCTTGCCACGCACCTTAGCTATCATTTGTTTTTAATTAACAGGACATTTGATTCTGGAAGGAGGAATCTGCAGCCTCCAGGTGAGTTGATGCCTTTTTTTTTTACCCTTTCCGGCCTAAGGTTTCACCTCTGTTCTGTAGAATGAACTGCTACCCGTTAGGTGTCTAGGTGTCTGACCTAACTGCTAACCGTTATGTCTTGTTATGATTTCTTCAGGGCCAGGTTGTTCAAAAATAAGGATTAGGCTAACCTGAGTTTAGTAGAGAGGGTCGAGATAGTTTTACGGCTTTTCAGAGGAGTTTAGCAACGTAAGGTATAACTCCACGAGACGTTTGACTTCATATAAGTTTTAGGAGATAGACGACAACGTCAGCCTTTAAATCCTGGACCAGCGCTGAACGCTTAAGAGTAGTGCCGCTTAGTCCGCCTCTTTCGCAACCAAAATGCTTAGGAGAGACTGCAAGAGCTTTGCTTTTTTTGCAGGTGGGTCCCAATCCACTGGCCGACAAAGTCCTGTGTTGGAGTTCAGAAGACCTCAGCCCCAGTCCACACGCATACAGGCATTTACGCATGACGACTTCTCCGATATAGAAGACGACTGAAGCGCGCTCGATAAGTCTTGCGAAATGTCAAGTGTAAATTATGTGACGTTAAAGCTCATAAGCTCTGACGAAACCATGAGAGACTTGACATATGATGATCGTGAACTAATATAAAAACACTTTTCTACAGAAAAAATCTAACCAAGTATTTATCTTTCTCCAGAAAATAATTTTGTATTGAAGCCTTTCCTGAAAAGTATCATAAAGTTGCATTTGGGTTACAGAGGAATTTTCTACATTTGTTGGGTATAATAAAGTTCTCCTGGACTGTTTAAATTGAATTGGCCAAACAAAGAAGCTTTCTCTTTGATTGGATGGTTGTCTCACACTCCCATGACGTCACTCCAAAGGGAATAGTTGTTATGAGCCAATCAGATGATTACACGTGACTAATAAGTTGTTCAGTTGACTGCGTTTCTGGGTCGATCAGAAGAGAGACCCTGGGGATAGGGGTTTTTCTTAGCAACTGTCAAGAAAATTTGAAAGGGTGGGGGAGGTGTGTTTTTTTTTTTTTGTCACACCCTGTTCCCTTTTCAATGTATTTTGTATGATTGTGGTGATTAGCGTCTAAAGTGCCATTAAAATATATTTTACCATCTCTGATCTTGTGCTGCCATACTTCATGCAGCTGTCTCGAGAAGAACATACCAGCTTTTAACTTTAGACATTCTCAATCTCATTCCCCGAGTCTCCGTTATCCTTTATCAGCGGCACGGGCGCGTAAGGATCTCTCTTTCCTAACCGCTGATCAAGTTAACGAGGACTCCGTGAACGAGATTGAGAACGTCTAAACCTGGTATGAGAGTGATCGTCCTCCAGATGTGGAGCCTGGGTCGCTGATTTCCCAACCTTAACCATGATCAAGGAAAGACACCACAAAAAGTTCATTTCCTGTAATTTCATTCTAAAATACCCGAAACTGTTGATTTTTACAGCTATAAATACACGCACAAGATGATTTTTTCCGCACAAGGTGAGGTTATTACAGATATGCTCGACGAAATTTCATCTCTTCGCTTGACTGTGGTCGTTGCTCAAAAACGTATTGACTAACGACGAAAGAAAATGTCAGTGAAGAATAAAAGTCTGTTTCACATCGATTATTACCGGTGTTAAGTGTAATTTTAAATTTGGTGACGTTATCGTCAGTTGCTGAGCAACGGTCAAGATTTTCAAAAATTGTCGCTTTGGACCAGTTGAGGCTACCATAAGGATAAAAACGTTTAAAAAATACAGCCCGCTATTCTGGTTTCCAGGCCACACAAAGGTAATAACACTTCTCCTTCAATGTGAAAATCGTAGGAATATCCACATGTTAAATTTAATCATAAAACGAATACAACTATTTCTGTAGAGAATTTCAAAACCTTTCTATACAAATTGGATATGAACCTTAAATGCGAAAAGTTGCGCTAAAGTCAGTTCAATATCATCTTAGAAGGACTGCAAAGAAAATGACATTTCATCTGCGCAACCTCAACTTTGGCAGATCACACCAAAGTAGCTGTTCCATTCAGTAATTTCTTAGTCACCATTCACATCGGAGCGAGTTGAATATATCCTAAGAGTGTTATAATTATTACAATTGTGTACAGTTATAATAATTATAATTGCCATAAATAGTAAATCTTCCGCTTTGAAACTTTTTCCTTCGGTTTCCAGTTCAACATGGATTCCACAGTCGCCATAAAGATAGAACTAGTAATTGAACCCACGAAACGCCAGGATGTTGTTCTAGTTGAAATGAAATTTGAACTGAAAACCTTCTCCAAAGCCCCCACCGAAAGGAAATCCGCCCTGTTGCCAATGATGATGACCGCCACCTTGCTGCTCTGGGTCTAACGGGTCTTCACCATTGTCGTATTTTGCGCGTTTTTCTATTTGAAAATGAAGATAAAAAATCGTGAATTCAATTTACCTTCACCTCCCTTTCGTTCCCAGTCAGCGACCTTTGTGGCCCCACCCTATGACTCACCCACACTTATACAACTAAATGAACTAAAAAATTAAGGGGGGGTAGGGGAAGGGGAAGAGGTCGTTATTAGCAAAGTTTTAAGACCACACTGTTTTCAGTCTTTCCGTCATCAGTTTTCATCGCAGGGTGGCGACATTATTCATAGCAACATTTCAGACAGTAACATTCGAGGTGGGTACAATCAGGCATGAAAACAACAAACAAACGAGCAAAAAAAAACGAACGGACGAACTAACCACCGGAAGAACGAGAACACGGACGATCACAAACGAACAAAGACGGATCGATGACTGTACGAAGAAACGAAAAAGAGAACACTGAACCAAATGAACAAACAAACGAATATAGTCATGCTGTGAAAACGAACAAACCAAATAACAACCAAACGACCGACCAAACCGAAGATAGAACGATCAACCGACCAACTGACCGAACAAACAAACTACAGACCGACCGTAAAAACGAACGAACGGACCGACCGTACGGACAAACGACGGACCGACCGAGCGATCGTTCCGACCGACCATACAAACGACGGAGCCGACGGAATGAATAACGGACGAACCTTTCAAACGAACGGAGGAAAGAACAGACAGTACAAACGAGGCTATTTAGCTTACCAGGATCTGTGAGGACTTCTTTCGCTGCAGCGACATCGATGAACATTTTCTCAGCTTTTTTCTTGTCGTCTCCTTTGTATTGATCAGGATGCCACTTGACGGCCAGTTTACGATATGATTTTAAGATTTCTTTCTTCGATGCCGTTCTGAAACCACACAGAACAGAAAAAGATTCACCAGATGCGTTAATTGTTTTTATTACTAGTTCTGAATCGGGCATTCTACCAACTATGTACATAAGAATAGACTTCACCTTTTCAATCCTAGGATCTTGTAATAGTCCCGTTTCTTGGATTGTTTAAGTAATTTCTGTGCTCTGTCCAGTCCCTCTTGAACCTATACTCGGTTTAAATAAAAAAAGAACAACAACAACAATAAACAAATGAAAACAAATATGTCGTATTGATTTGTACCATAATCTTGTTCCAATCATTAAGAGATTCTTACTGAGCAAAACAGCTTCCAGCTACGTTTATACGTAAAGCGGTTCTCTGGTTTAGACGTACTGTATTACATTTTGAAAAACAACTGCTGCAAGTTCCCAAGCGATACCACTGCTAGGCGACTCTTGAAATAAAATCCTTCTGTTTGTGCCAGAACCTAGGTTAATCGTACTTCAACAAGCTAGAAACCCATTCCTTTCCCATCCACATCGAACTTTAACAAACCTCATCTTCTTGCTTTTCCATCAATTACCATTTCAACTAAGCGTGGCACAAACAAAACGAAAGAAATCTCAATGGCCAATCAGAGCAATGGACCATTTCGGTAAGAACCAATGAAAAGTCAGACTAAGCAGTGGTAGCCAGCGTCAGGCGCGGGAAAACGCAGCTCACTAAGTCGCGATTTGTTGCAATTTTTTATCTGATAAGGAAAGTTGAGGGAGTTTCCTAAACCAATCACTGAGCGAAATTATGTAAAACCAATGTAGAACCGTATTGCTATCGACATTCAACTTAAAATTATTTTATCAGTACTGTTCATTTACGAGACATCCAGGCTAGCCGTTGCAAGCAGAAGAATAACGCTGACCACCTTACCTTGTGTAAGTGTTCGTTGATACTCTTTGCCTTCTGATAATCATTTACAGCTGCGGATGAAACCCAGAGGTTGGTAAATAAAATGAACACAAAACCGTGACAAATTTGGCCTCCCAAAAGCTAGGTATCAGTTTGATGGTTTTCTTCTTTTTTTGGCCAATCAGATTGCTCGAAACTTCACGTGAAATGAAGTGCACGTGACAAGAAACTAAACAGCGTAATATACACCACGTTGCGTGACATTAAACAAGTACGATATCAAATTATTTTTTCGAACTTCTGGCCTCGACAAGTAACCAACCGAAGGAAATATGCGAATACCGATGTCACAACAAAAAACAAATATGAAAAGAAACCTTCGTTGCTCTGAACGGTGAATTGGTGGTAAAAAAGACGAGAATTCCATACCGTCATCATACATTTCATTTAGTATATGTGCTTCTGCCCTGTCACACAACGCATCAACGTCATTTTCATCGATCTTCAACGCCTCGTTGCATTCTGTGATGGCATCGGTGGGATTATGAAGCTATAAAGAGAAACAGATATGAAAGAATTCACGTAAAATAAACGAGACGAAACAATGAACACAAATTGTAAGGACGTAATCTCGACATAATCTTCGTAAAATTTTCCGAAGACCTACCGACTTTTATTATCCAATCAGAAAACAAGGAAAATCTGATCACTCTCATTCATCGTGTTGCTAAGTGACACTGCTAATGGCCACTACCTACTGGCCTGGTCCTTACTGAACAGCTCTCTGTTGTGTTTTATTTTTTTTTAACAAAATTCTAGCAAACACAGTCCTGTTAATAACGAGAGAGAAAAGGACTTTTACTGAACGAACCTTGAGGTGACAGTGGCATAGCTGGCGTCTTGCCTTGGCTGCTAGTGAAGGGATTTTAGACTCTGTTTTGAGAGCCTGTTTGAGTTTGGATATAGCTTCTTCATATCTGAAATGTAAAGAAGACAGGAAACTTTATTGAAAAGGAAAATCATAGAAAGGAAATGCATGGGAATAGCAAAATGAAGAAAACCACAGATGAAAAAAAACCCTCAAATAAGAAGGAAACAGGTAGCAAAAATTTTCAAGCACGATATTGACAATCCACGAAAATCTTTTACATCCTAAGAGATCTTCCTCCTGTTTTGGTTCATCATTATGGCTCAGATCTTCGCATATCCTTGGAAACAATTGTTCTAGGATTTCCTTCTACCTTTAAGAAATTGTAGAGGGAGTTAATGACAGACGTAACTTACTCTCCTTTGTTGATCAAATCTTGAGCGGCTTGCATCTGCTTATTCAATTTTTTTAATTTCTGCAAAAGCAAAAAGGGTACAAAATTGTCATCTGGTTGGCTAACAATTATCCGCTAGCTAATATTAAAGGTAATGCCGTTCTTTTTTACCAAAAGCTACTGCTCTGTCGAGTGTCAAGTGTTCATAAGTGTAATTTTGTTGGATCAGTGTAAGGCGGTGTGGGAGACGCGTCCGCCAAATGGTTCGCGCGCTGGTCTTCCTATCGAGGAGTCCTGGATCGAGGCCCAGGCAAGCAATGTGGTGTTTTCTTGGCTAGTATTCCCCAGATGATGTTCTTCTTTATTCTCATCACCAATCTCTTTAATTTCAAATGGATATTGTGAGGAGAAATTACGTCTCCATTACTATTGGGAGTGGAAGGGTGGATGCCGAAAAGGAGCTTTAGTTCTTGGAAAGGAGCTGGAATTGTAAGGGTCAAATCAATTTGGCAAAGTGATGGAAAGTGCTGTTTTACCTTGTAAAAAGGAAAACAATCTTTGTGATCTTGATCAAGCTTGAGGCACTCGCGAACCTCCCTAAAAGTTAAGGAAAAAAGGGGTTGAAGATTGCATATTAACCACAGAGAGGACAATGCAAGGGTTGAATTTTGCAATGGGGTAACATTAAACTGTCCAAAGCTCTCAGTTCAATTCGTTCCCCTTTTCGTTTAGAATGTTAAAATGCTTAAAAACAACACTGCATTAGAACCGGATACAAGAGACAACTGAAAGTAATCAGCAAGAAGGTTTTTAAGATGTGTTTGGTGCAGATTTGTATGACGGGCTAAGGAGGGCTTCACAGGAATTCAGGAGAAGATTCGTGAACACCCTAAACGTTAAGAAAATATTTGTGTCAGCTATTGCATCTGTAGATAACTTACCTTAACGCATCCTCCAACTCTCCCATTCCATAATGTAACTCACTGAGTCTAAGATATGCTGCTGTGTTGTCAGGGATCAGTTTAGTGGTTGGCCTGAAATAAAAATGCAAAATGAGAATGTCATTTTAGTTGACAATTTTTTTTTCTACCGTTCAAGGATGTGGATGACCTGAAAGTGTCAAAGTGATGACCTGAAAGAACATTGGCTCCAGATTTTTTGGTTTCTGATGATGATGATGATTTGCACTCAGGTTTTCAAAATGTAGGTCACTGTTACCAACAAAAGTTCATTTCACTCATCACCAGAGTCCAACAACTGACTGAAAGTGACTTCTTGATGTCCACATCAAATGGTAACATCTCAGATTTTTCAGAAACATCAGTAATCACCACCAACAACTTTCCTTTTCAGGAAAACCTTGGCCTTGTCCAAACAATCACACTGTCTGATAGAACAGGTACTTGAAGAATTTGATACTTTCTAGTATTCAAATTTGCAACTGTGAAAATGCTTCACATATAATGTATGAAAAGAAGCTTGAAAAATTCTTACTTGATGTCTGAAATTGCATTGATGTAGTCTCCCATGTTTTCATGACAGTCAGCCCTCATTATTCTTAGTTCAGTATCCCAAGGGGCAACCTTAGAGAGAAAAAAAATTGGACATTTGCAGGCTTGACTTGCATTTACTCCATAAAACAAAGTGCCATTCATGAAACTCTTCAGCTTCTCTGATATAGCCCTTGTTCAATGCAATATTTTTATTTTTAGTTAGAGACAATTGTTACAAAGTTATTAATGATTAGTTAGTCATAATTAATAGTGACATCAATAATAATATACAAAAAATGCCATAATAAAATAACCATTATTATTGATAATAATTACTATCAATATTTAATAATACCTCTATTGCTCTTCCTAAGAACTCTATAGCAAGTGAATAGTCTCCCATATTTATTGCATTTCTTGCTTCTGAGACATCCTTCCTAATGGGTTCTATAACATTTAACTGGACAATGAAAGAAGAAAAAAGAAATAACAGAAAATAAACCAAACCATATCCAGGAAAAATTTGCTTTCCTGCAAAAAGTTTTTTTAAATCAGATGCTTTTGTTTCAAGTTCACCATTTACCTGTTGCAGTGCTTCAGCATTATCAGGGTTTTTATGTAACTGAAAAAAATATGAAGAAGTAAATATCAATTAATTGTCATTGATCATTAAAATTTGTTCTTGGTTTTTACTGAAGGCTATGATTACACCCAGTTCCTCTGAACCTACTGATAAGTACCCGTGATATAAATGCTTATGCAGGAATTCTGTTTAAGAAAAGATCCTATAGAGGATTGTAAATTCCCTAATCAAAACTGTAACTAAGTTATTGAATGTGATTTATAAAAGCAACAATGATGTGATGATCTTCACCCTCTATCCCCCTAGGAGTGACCAGCATCTAATTTCTCCTTACAATATCACCCCTGAATCAAACATGTAGGTCACAAGAATAAAGGAAATGATCACCAACTAGAGAAGCTCCTGATTGATAAACAAATTCTCCTTGTCAGTACCAAGAGAAATGTAAAGAGAACAGTGCAGAGAATAGACATACTGATGTTAGGGTGTGAAGGGTTAATTTCTAGGAGCCAATAGGCAACAAAAAGTTATTCTGACTGCACCCATTCATAATTGCTTTACCCATTAGCTCCCATGAGTGACTAAGATAGACTTTCTCCTCACAATATCAATACAACATCAATACAACATCAAGCAGACAAGTGATGAGAATGAAGAATAATATCAATCAGGGGATTACTAATTGATCCAATAACTAATTCTCCAAACTAACATCATGTGAATTGTATTGCAGACAGTAAGGATAATAACTAATTGGCATTTGGGAATGAAAGGGCAAACTGAAGCTATCATATGTAACAGCAAGTCTGAGTTACTGATTTAACTCACCACTGCCTCATAATCAATGTGTGCTTCATCTAATCTTCCTTGTTTGAGTAAGACATTCCCTCTTTGTAACCGTGCCTGTTTAAAACAAAAATTATTGCTAATAGCTCCTGATATATTTTACCCAACTCAAGGAAAGAGTAGATAGAAACCACTGTCATTTACATTGTTTTCAATGAGCTAAGCTTGAGGTCTGCAGTAAAAAGTAAGATGAACTCTGATTCTGATCACTTTTACTTTAACCTGAAAACATCTGCAGGTAACTGATAATAATTTCAGTCTCTGCAAATAATTACACTGGTGTACTAAAAAATGGGAAATGAGGGTTGTGGTCATTCTTTTTTCCAGTTTGCTTTTCGACATAAAAATTAAAGCTAGGCTATCAACTATCAAAGACAGAGGTTGTGTATGATTAAGAATGGGACAAATTGCTTGCATGTTAAGATAAAAAAAGGTGAAGTTAAGGTATTCCTGAAGGCCGACTCAGCCTCTCAGGAATACCCTTTTTTTTCACCTGTTAAAGATTATCATTGAAGTAGCCTACTTACAAAATTTTATGATTGGAAAATGTCCTGTTTCCAAAATATATGCAACTGAAGTTTTTTTCAAAGGAAGAATTTAGCAGCAAAATAGAGATACAATGCTGAAGTAAACATGTTTGTGGTTCATATGGTTTGTCCTATGGTAACATTTCTGACAAATCCATTTAATACAAAACCATTCAAAAAGGCTCTCTTGGGTGGGACATTAAAGAAATTCAAACTTGGAGAAAAGATTCTCCTTGCAGCCTCCCTTATTAAAATTCACTCAGCAAGATCCAAGAAATTTAAACAATTTTCCTCTGAATGTTTACTTAATGAAAAATCTTTCCCCATTATTATATTGTTATTCTGTAAACATACCTGAAAAAAGTCAGGTCTTAGTTCAAGTACTCTGTCCAGATCAGGTAAGGCAGCTTTTGAACGACCCATTGCTAGAAATACTGTTGCTCTTTTAAAATATGTCAAAAAATTGTCAGGATCACCCTCTGAAATAAATAATGAAGAAGACACATTAAGCTCTTCACTCACCAAATTAATTTCTCCTTAAATATCAATACAATTTAACCCTTTCACCCCTAAGAGTGACCAACATCTAATTTCTCCTTACAATATCTCCCCTGAATCACACACAAAGGTCACAAGAATAAAGGAAATGATCACCAACTAAAGAAGCTCTTGATTGTTAAACAAATTCTCCTTGCCAGCACCTTAAGAATGTATAATGAACAGTATAGAGAATATGCATACTGATATTAGGGTGTGAAGGATTAACCCAAATAGATGATGAAGAAAAATTTTAATATTGAGAAATCGATTTATTAAGTAACCAATTCCCAGATCTACAATTATACAATTTGTACAGCATATAGCTTGGAGAAGTGATGTCAAAATTGAGAAACTAATGCAAAAAGGGTGCTCAAATTTTTCCAAACGTTATGTTGGTACTGTATAAATTAAATTATTTGAAGTGTAATTTAAAAAACAAAGCTTGGCACTTTTTGATTGGTCGAATTGTAAATAGCGTTCGCGCAAATTTAATTCGCATCCGGGATGATGTAAAAAAAGATATTAAGATGAATCGACAGACGCGGGGAAAAACTTTCTTAAGTGAGAGGCAATATAGACCAAAAAGAAAACGTTATAGTCTTTCCGCTTCAAATAAATCTACGTGACATGAAGAACTGGTAAACACAACAGAGTCTACGTGATTTATTTCGAGATGTTAATTTGATTTGGATGAAATGTTTCTGCTATCGTATTCGTTGGTTCAGCTGGGTTTCACTAACTCCACTCGAATTTGAGATTAAACTTTCTCACTACTAAAGCAATGCCATAAATTTTAAGAAACTTAACAACTGCATTTCTAGGTTATAAAAACAAAACGCGTCGCTACTCAAGCAGGTAACAACACATGAGTTCACCCAAATAAATAACATCGACTGAAGTTCTTAACTTATCTAAGATATTTCGGTGCACCAGTTTGGAAACTCTGAGCTACTGTCAAAAAATTTTAAAGAAATAACACTTAACAGAGAATCAGACAAACCAATAATTTAGAACAAAGATTTTTTTTCTGTAAAACTTAACAACTAATGTTAGAGTGGAAATTAGACAAACGCCGGTTCAAAATAAAAATCACTCACCAACTGCTGCATGATAGTGTGAGAGAGCATCACTTAGTTGTCCACTGGCAAGCAATCTCTTGCCTTGTTCTAAATGTTGTTCAACTTCTGCTGCCGATAATTTGCTCGAAACTCCTGCAAGATCCGACACACATCATTTCATAAGGCACGTCATCCAAATTCTGTAGTGCGATTCGGCCGAAATCTCCCCTAGTTAACTGTCATAATATTTAATCTGATAATTACACAGGACTCACCGATTATTTTCAGTTCCAAAGTGATTAAAATAATATTCAACGACGAAAAAAGTTGTCCAAAACTACACATCTTGAGACTGGCATATATGTATTGCCTTAATTTCTGTTTCCTATGTTTTAAGGAAGTGAACCGCGGTTCACATTCAGTGTTGGCGCACACCGTCGTGGTTGCAGTTGATTGGTCGTCAATACGTTCCCAGACTTCTCTCAGAAGACGGTGTCACAGTGATGACCATGTCGATGACTGTATCCTGTAAAATGTGCACTTCATTTCCCAATGTAGATATTTCGCGTGATTTGTTTGGATCCGGTGGGAATACCAAACAGAAACAAAAGGCGAAATACGTGCTTTGCATTGGAATGAAGAGGAAAAGATCAGGGAGTCTGCCAAGCATGGGAAATAATAAAGCGCAAACTATTGAAAAGTTTATTTCTCCAATTTTGTCAAAAGCAAATTTTTGTTTCAATTTGCAGTATTTTCAGTTGAAAAAAGTTTAAAAGCTTTATGGTGAGAACAAATTTAAAGACTAGGCTTGCCCAACATTACACAATCTAAACAGAGAAATGCATAAATCGAAGACTCCAATTCTGAGGAAAAAATTTTCCATGAAGCCTTTGAGAAATAAAGCAATACCCAAGTTTTGTGTAAATTGTAATATGTAAAACTGATGGAAAGGAAGGAACATTTCAGAGGACAAATCTTTCTTTTATTACCAGCATGTCTTTTTTCATCTTAAATTTTTCAACTGTGCATCAAAAACACTCTTTTCCATCTTAAATTTTCTGGGTGTCAAAACAAAACAGTAAAAAATACATAAATAAGGTAATAGTATCAATATATATCCAAATAATTTATATTCACTATTAAATCATGATTACTCATCATTAATCTGAGGTAATGACCCTGCTTCCCCCTGCTTTAGAAAAATGGTTTCTGCTAATTTAGAGCAAGTACTTGAGTGTTCACTGCTCAACAAAGAAAAAAATAAATATATATTTTTTCTTTGTCGTAACTCTATCAAAGAAATCACTCAAAATACATTGCATAGCTTTCTTAATCCTTTCACTCCCAGAAGTTATCTACATGTAATTTCTCCTTACAATGCCAATATGATATCTTGAAAACAGGATATGAGAACATACAAGCTTAACAGGGAGACGGTGCTATCATGATGTAACACCAAATTCTCCTGTCTTGTTTACAAGGAAATGTAAAGAAGCTCAAAGGGAGAATTACTCATTGGATTCTGGGAGTTAAAGGGTACAAAGTGAGTAAACACCAAAGCTAGATTGCAATCTATGCATAGAAAATGACTTTGTGTTCTACAGTGGCTACAAAGCCAATCAAGAAGCTGAGGGAATGAACAAGTCAGATTAATAAATATGAAATAAAGATTAATGGCATGCAGAAAATTTTCAGTATCTCTTTACACTCAGTTCAAAACAATCTACTTAAATTTAAGAGATTGTAATTAGTTAATCCATCCGTATGAAAAGAACCCATTATTAAGCCAAAATGCACACTCTTCCATGTGGTAACCATTGCTATCAAGAACCTTTACACCTCTGTTTGTGAACAGAGCAGTACTTTTAGGAAACTTTTTCCAAGGAGCATCTTCTTGATTAAATTCATTGTTAATAAATTTACCGAACTCTCTTCTAAGGTCCTTCATGAAACTCTGGTCTCTGGGTGATGGAGTGTAATGAAATGCAGGAGGGAAACCAAACAGTGCGATAAGATCCCACATGTGAAATGCAAATGTTGCTGGATATCCAAACACATTTATTGGAGATGATGGAGCACTTGTAACCACATATCTATAAACTGGGCTCTTAAAACCTTGAGATGCTTTGGAGGCAAACACATCATTTGGGCAAGAAAGTCGTATATCAGAGGCCATGGATGAATAAGAAAACTGAGGAGAGAGAGGTTCCTTACTAAGCTCACTTTTGTTATACAAGGCAAGAACCATGCTAACATTCTTTCCAATAAAAGGAGCCAACTTTTGCTTTACATAAGTGCTGTAGTCTTCCCAAGTAGAATTAGAAAAATCCATCACAGGCTTAATATTTATCTCCTGCCCTGTTGTCCCAATAATTAAAGGGACATCATTTGCTTCTCCTTCTACCATGGCAAGAAGAGGAGGCTTGGGAACCACAACATTGTCAACAACAGCAACTGCCCCATCAAACAGGTTTTTTTGTGGCAGATCCATAGAGTCAGACATGTGCCAATATGGGTATACATCCCATGGGATGGCTGCTTCCAGTTTTTCAGTAGTAAGCTGATATAAACAGTCTGTTTCAGCTGCTGAACTGTTTCTCACACAATCACAATTTTTTATGAAAATTTTGTTGTCATCTGCAGCATCTTCCCATGATTTGTTATAAACAGCTGAGGCACTCATGACAATTGCTCGATGGAATAACCCGGCAGCACTAGGGGAGGCAAGCAAAGCCAGTTCAGATGTACCACCAGAGCTTTGTCCAATCAGAGTAACAGATTTTGGATCACCACCAAATTTATGGATGTTAGCCCTCACCCACTTTAAAGCTAATATCTGGTCCATGAAGCCATAGTTTCCTGTACTTTTGCTTGGTGATGCCTCTGCTAAGGACTTTAAGGCAAGAAAACCAAATGCATTTAATCTGTAATTGAAAGACACTCCAACAATATTCATCTCTGAAACCATTTCAGGTTGGGGGTGAAGTCCATTCCAATCCCCAGAGGAGTACATCAAAAATCCACCATGAATGTAAACTAGAACAGGGAGAAGTATTCCAGTTGATCTGTGCTTCGGTGTCCATACATTAATAAACAGACAGTCCTCACTGCCTATGACTTTGGTTGGGTCTGGAGTGTGCAGCACATCTTGCTGTGCACACCAACTTCCAAATTCACTTGCATCCAGAGTTCCATTCCAGCACTTATTTACATTCTCGTCACACGAAACCGGAGCTTTCCAGCGTAAATTACCAACTGGCGGTTTTGCATAAGGAATTCCTTTAAACACGACAGCATCACCCTCAAATTTACCGCGTATGACACCAGCTTTGATCGTCACTTTCATATGTTGGTTTTCCTCTAATAAGATCTGTTCGTATTCCTTGACTTTTCGAGAAAAATAATAGTACAGTAAGCCTGAGAGAATGGCAACGAACGCAGCAGCAGTCAATACAAAAGCAACTCTCCTCTTCGTTCTTTGATTTAATAAACACGAGTTAAAACTGGTTCGAATGCTGAGCTGTTCTTCACTTTCGAACTCGAGTTCCTCACGAATTGGAAGGAAAGGCCTTGATTCCTGTGATCGTCCCATTTCTGTGTAAGTTTTCAAAACAAACTATCTTTTCCACCTTGAAATCACTTCTGGTGCATAATATAGACCATATACTCCGACAAGCTGACGCAATAAAAAGCATGGGTATCCACAAATTGATTTACAAGCCTCAACAAAACATTCACCGAAAATACGTCGATCAGAAATCAAAGTCAAACTAACAGGGCCCTAGCAAGTCACGTGCCTAACAGTAAGGGGTAAAAGATAACTGACTAACAGGCGGGTAAGTAACGCTAGAAACGGTATTGCGTGACATACAAATTCCCCTTCCCCGTCCGTTACCCTCCTCTCCCGTTCCCTTCGGGAACGACAGAAACAAAACAGTATAATAGATAATTTGATTTCATTAGCTGAGTTAATAATGTAAATTTGCCACCGTAAGGAGTTTCCAACGCTGATGTTGCAGGCGTGAGCCTTTCGTAGTACCGCAGTTTCTTTAAACTGACCTTCTTTACTAATTTGTTGTATAAGTTTCCGTTTTAAAAACATAGTAGGTTTTGTTTTCAACCAAAATGAAGCATACTACATACGGTATTCATAAGAGCTGACTTCCAATTCCCACACAAAAAAAGTTGCCGACTTTGTGCTTCTTAACAGACCCCAGCTCCTCTAAAAAGCCCCCCCTCTGATAAGACTCCGCTTGATTTCCTGAAGAATCGACAAGCTCTGGGGACTTATCAGATCTAGAGAGTCAACAGGAATACGATGTTACAGTTTCCCGCTCTTAAATGTCGAAATATAATCCCTCCATTCTCAATCATTTTTTCACTATCATCCTGAAAAGAAAAATGTATTTTTTACAAAATTCGTAGGTAGCTGTAATAAGTTTTAATCCCAATTCATCATTTTCTTCTAGTTTTTTTTTATTGTAGGTTGAAGTGCTTTAATCCATTTCCATACAAGATAAAGACCTTTTCTTTTTTTTAAAATTTTTTCCTATACATTATACTTACATATGTACTTACTTATTACACGATGCTTACACTACATTAACTTGCACTACTTACAAACATATATTACAATACAATTACACTAGTCAAATTGAATTACAGTTGATCTATTTACGTTATTGTTTGCATGTTAATTGTTCGAGTCACTAATAAGGATTTTGTTTGTTAATTACACTACATAGTGTATTAATTTTCTAGAATTTAATAGATTATTAAATCAATAGGTAGCGAAAAGAAACAAATCAAAAATACAAAAGTTTAGAAGAAAAAGGACACAATACAATTTTATAAAGACAGAAAAATTTTTCCGTTTGTTCCTGAATTCCTTCTCCTTATTACGAGTGACTGCAATATATTTTTCTAGATTATTTTTTTCGCGCACAAGTGAGACAAAATCATCGAATTGGTACGTTATGGTATTTAAAGCGTTAACATATAAGAAATATTTACCCAAAATAATGAGATGGTTGAGGGCTAAACAGTAGGTGTGACAGCGAATAATTCCGAACATAACCTCTAGTTCTGACAGCAGCAGTTTCGTATTACTAGAGATTGAGTACCGCTTCTGGAATCTATTCCAAAAAGAACTTGCGTGCATGCCGTTTATAAACAAATGCCACAGGGTCTGACACTCAGAAGGACAAAAGGGACAGGAGGGCGGGGAAACTTTTTTCGTTTTGTGTAACAAGCTATTCGTTGGTAAAATTCGGTGAATGATTTTGTATTGGAACATCGTCAATTTAATTTCTCTCGTGGCTTTGAATGGTAGGAGGTAGATTTTAGTCAAGTAACTTTTCTCGACGCCAGACGCTAAAAGTTTTTCCTCAGAAGTTGGTGGAGGTAGATCTTCAAGGTTAAGCAGCGTACTGTATATTGTCTTGCATGACAGTGGACAGATTGAGATGGGAGGCGTAACTGGGTCTTTGGAACCTTCTTGCAATACTTTCTAGTTAAATTTTAGGCATTTACGCAGCACAGAGTAAGTCCTGATTGATTGAATTATGAGCGTAAATTTGCATTACATAGCTCTTCAGTTACTTAAGCCACTGAACAATGAACGTTGCTACATAGTGTCCTTCAAATGTATTGCGCATGGTTAGACAAACTGGAGGGAATCATACAGTGACCTCGCTGATTACTATTCCCAAAATACCTATATATTTATCGATGAAAAAGAAAGAGTAATCGAACTTAAAGCTTAAAAATAAATTTAAAAACTCACAGCCTCTCCAATAGGAACTTGTTTCATATAGAGCTTTGTAGTCTGTGTACTAATCAGGAAATAATTTATAAATCATCATGTACATGACGTTTCCAATCGCGAGGTGAGCAACTACGTAAATTTATTGCAACAAGGAATTAGTTCCAACACAAGGAATCAGTTCCAGTTTCACGGTAGTGACTTAAACATCAACATGGCTACCATGCCAAGTGTTCTGGTAACCAGTATGGTCTTTGTGACATCATGTAATCATGACATTTTCAAGAGAGATCGTAAGGTCCGTTTAGAGTTCTCCCTGAATTCTTTGCTACTAAAGAAATAAATAACAGGGTTTACTGCAGAGTTTGTCATTCCAAGCGTGACTGCCCATATATAGAAAGAATTCACTTTCTGTTCAAGGTCACTCACGAGAACATACCCGTATGGAACCCAGCTGAGTGTGAATACACCAATCACAACACCGACTGTCCTGGCCGCACGTTTTTCGGATTCCTGTCGTTTTTTCACCATTGCGTTTCTCTTCATGAAAACACGATCTTTACTGAGGGGAGTCGGAGTCGCACGCTGTTTGTTTTCGTTTTCGTGCGGCTGTATAATTGATAACACGCGATTAGACACTTTGAAATGAGCCCTTGCTCGCAGCAGAAGTATTCCATAACTGGTCAATATAACCCCGTAACAACCTGCCAGTCCTATAAGGATTAATATCGAGGACAGCCTAGTGCTCCTTCCTGCAACGTGACCAGTGATTCCTAAGACGCAAGGAATTCCCCATATTACAAATAGAATGGCAAACATCTTTTTCCTTGTTAACTTCTGTCTTTCGCTCAACGGCCAGGAGATGGCTAACAAGCGTTCCACACTCATGAAAGCGAGGTTCATAAGGGAAGCGCCGCACGTTATATATGCTGCTAAACGAAACGCGTCTCGAATGATTGCTTGACAGACTCCTGTCATACGGCTCAGCGTTAGAATGGCTTCCATGGGTTGGACTACAAGATTAACGAGAAGATCAGCAACAGAGAGGCTGCAAATAAAATAGCACCATGTTTTGTGGAGTCGAGGGCTAAAATACACTGTAAAACATACCAAGATGTTGCCAAGACCTCCAAACAAGGCAGAGAGAACATTAACACTGAACGCAAAAATTCCTTCCAGTTCGCGTATTGCGCAACTTGAGTTGAACATTGTTACCGGAATTCAATTTTGTTCAAAAGTCTCTGACAATTGCTCTGTGTATAATCAAGGCTTTTTTTTAACTTCAAGTTATCATGTCAGCTCATTTGTGAAGATGTTCTTGACTCAAAAGGGACCCAATAACTAGCAACGTATACTACATCTCATCGTGATATAAAACAAAAATATTGTTCACATTTAGCAAGCCTGTGAACTAACAAATAAATGCACACAAAAATATATGAAATGTCAAAATGGTAGAGGGTTATTGGTTTATGGAAATTTCGTTAAGAGGATTTCAATTGTCATTTCAAATAATTCCCGAGCTTGATAATGAAGGCACTTTTTAAATGTTAGATTGCACGCACAGGTAGACAAATTCTCTCAGGATTCATATAAAATTAATACAGAGTTTTCATTTTATCATTTGAGAAACATGAATTTCACAACGATCGAATTTAAAATTTATAAAATCATAAAAATTCAAGATGTTAAAAAAGAGACGGATTTAGTTTCTTTGTAAACGTTAATCTTTTAAGAGGCAAATATTACTGCTTCAGGAAAGACACATGTTTGTTTTAGTTAATCGTCAGTAGCAAATTGAAGATTGTTTTAATGGTAGAAATGCGATTCTGTCAAATTGTCTCATGATTCATGCATAATTTTTATCTCGATCATTATTCGCTTTGCAATTACCTCAAATTTTCATTTGGAACTAACCCAAGAACAGGTTCTTACGATATTCGTATTATAATAAGCAAATATTTTTTAGCGGCAGTTATAAAAGAATAATTCTTGGTTTCATTTCCTAAAAGCAATTTTTAATATTTAAAATATTTTGATGTTTACATTAATGCTCTAAATATAACTCACCGCCCTTTAGCCCAATTAACAAGAAACTACAAAAACTAAAAAATAATAAGGCTTAAGTGTTGTTAGTTCAATTATTTAGATATGAAACAGTCTGTGAATCCTTTTTACGGTCTAAAAAATATTTTATCAAATACTCTGGTTAAATCGCTCGAAATGCAGTGTTTGTATCGAAACGAAAACCAATAGTTGTTGTCAAATTGTCTGAACATTTGAATTCGTCAAAGTCATTTACATTTCAAGATAAATTTTTAGTGCATTCAAGTCGCTAAGCGCTAATTGTGGTGACAGGGAGGGGGTGGGGGGAGCAGTGGAGGAGGAATTCTCTTATGTAACCTACCTTAATAGCCAACGTGACGTCATGATTGAATATTACACTAAATGTAACCCGGACATTTGATTTTATGATGACGTCACGACCTTTACATTTACTCAGATTAATAATTCAACGAAAGAATATTGCAAAGGAGAGATGCAGGACCAATTTGAAATTATAGAGCTGGCCAAAACCATAAATTTCGCATTGAGTCAAACAATGAAGCATGATGCTAGCGTATTCACGAAATTGGCGATTTAAATTGCTTGTATTTTATACGTCTACCAAAGTTTTCTAAGAATACTGGTGATCCCAGAATATGGTCATTAATATTTCCTATTACTTCTCACTTCTCGTGATTAATAGCGTCGCCTTAGCTTGGCCAGAACCCAATAGCTGTTTCTCCTAACAGCACGTGTTCTCTGCTGAGACAATGCCAATGCAAAATATTTGCATTTTCATTGCTGATTGATGTGAGAAACAGAATATATACTAACGTAAATAGCTCCAATGGAAATCGAACATCAAACGAGGCGAAAAAATGAATTTGTGGACCTGAATTGAGAAAGTCTGCTTCATTTAGTTCTTTATCAGATATTGGAATTGGAATTGATTGTAATTTCCACCGACTGAAAAACTGCCAGGAAAAGATTCGCCTTTCCCAGCTTTGAATAAGATATAACTTGATAAGTTCCAGGACAAAAGAAATTTTGCAAATGTTTCGAGTTTGATCCAGTTGTCGCAGTGTGAGAACGTTGAAAAGTTCCTTCTAAACAGGTAAATTATCAGTGTTTTTCTTTAACCTAATGTACCTAAAAAATATTTGGCAAACTTTGGCAGCTAATGCCTTCATAGGTGATTCCATTTTATGATCTGGGCGTTGCGCATTTGATCCAGCGAAATTGATTCTGTTTCGAATTCAGATCGCTTTCCCTGAAAACAACTGTAGACTTTTAGCTTGGTTTTTAATCTAGTACTCCGTGTTTTGCGAAAAAGAACAGCTCTCTTTTTGCTCAAACCGTCTTTTATTGAATTGATACGATATAAATATCGGCCTGTACATACAATCTTCATTTTCAGTTTAGCTTCTGAGAACATTCACGCGTAGTTAAACTCGCGCGAAAATCTAAAATTGTTTCCTATGTTATAAAGTTCATTTGCATAATTCTCATTTTCTACTAGGTCATCCCAATTTTTTTTTCGCCGAAATTTTCCTCTAACAAGCTCACGGCTGTGATCAAAACCACATTATCTAGGGAAGTTTATGCGCTTCAAATATGATATGCAAATAAAATTTATGCGGCTGTTATATAACTGTTTTTTCGCACTTCCTCGAATGATATTTGTTGTGATTTCATTAACAGTGGAGATAGAGTTGTATTATTATAGTTTTATGTGTTAATTCCAGCGAAACAACAAAAAATACGCCCTTATGTTTTTTACTGATGTCTATCAGTAACTTCGATGCCTTTTTGATAGCCGTAAAGCGCATTAAATATTAATATCTACAACGTTATAGATAAATGTAAATGTGATTTGAGTAAAATCCTAATGATTTAGTTCATGTTGCTATTCTCAAAACCACTGACCCAAAAGAAGGATGTTTTTTATTTGTTGTCGAAAAGTACATCAAAATGCTAAAGCGTTTTCTCTACAGCAATACTTCTTGCTCGTAAAAATTTTAAGACACAAGCATATTAACTTTCCCTGATAAGGACTCTGCTAGATAAAACCCCCGTCGTTCAGCAAGTGCATGTTTCCCGCCCTTTCCTACGCTCGAAATCTGATTGGCTGATTCCTACGTCTGCATCACTTTATTTTCATTGGTCACAATCGTTGTTTACAATTTTGGTTTCACAGTGACATACATTTTAAACCTTTCCAACATTCTTTCCAAAATAAATATTTTTTTTCTCGCATTTTTTCAGAACATAGAAATTAAATGATTAATGCCACTCGTCCTTTTACATTCTAATTGAGTTGCATTTTTTTTCCGCTATGGTAACCGTGATGCAGAGATGTTTGCCTGAAGGAAGAAATGCTTCCAGGCAAGCGAAAATGGGATAAAAATAGGCTCTAGGAATAAAAAAAGGGGATAAAAAGGATGACAAAGGATTTAAAGTGAAATTTTCTTAACTGGATTTTTATTTCATTTCATCTTTATTCAAAGGCAGTGTGATTCATTTCTGACACAATAAACGTTTAAGCTGCACGAGGAACTTAACGCCGATATCATTTGTACTATAAATGTTACTGAATTACGCGTTAAATCATAATTTTAAAAATCCCCTTAATCCTATGTTCATCTGTGAAATTTAAGGGGCAACCGACCGCCGAAAGCAAGATATATTTCAATTTACGCGTGTTGCACATTTGAAATGTTTGGGTTCACCGCTACAGGTACCGCAAGGTTTTTAAAATCAATAATGTTAGCACGCAACAGGATACCGCGCAAACTAAGACAGTGAGATAGATTTATAAAATCTATCCTATATAAAGTTTTTTTTTAAGGAAAAATCTTTTTATCAGCTAAGGTCATTAAATAGTAAAGCAAAAGGGCGAAGAGTGACAAGTTATTGAATTTAAATATTTGTGCGGTGAAAATTCTATCCATGGGAGCTTTGTCTGTTAACCACAAAACCTGTCAGATTAGGAAATTCAGCTTCTCATTATTTACTAAACAGTTTCTTAAGATTATGACTAATTAAGTGATGAGCACTATTCAGTGATGTGAGTGAAATGTCACTGTAAGTGTTGCCATTTGCACTTTCTCTCTTACGAATTTTTTTTTCATGTTACTGCTCGCCCGTCTTAGAGAAGAATGACGCAATTAGATGTACAAGAAAATTTCTCAGCCAGCATGAAGGAACTTCGGATAAAACTGTGTAGTCGTTTAGCAAAGTGCTCACGGTAAGCTTCAGTTTTTTTAACAGTACGCTTCTTTACAATAATACCAGAACAAATTAAACGAGAAAAACGAAAAAAAGCAAATTAAAACTAAGGATGAAAAAAAAAAGTTATTTCGACTGCGAAGTAACTCTTCGATTTCGCCGCTCAGTTTTGAAGTTATTATCGTAGACATGGACATCTTCTAACCCACCACCGATTGATTTTTATCTAAGATCGTAATTTATACAAAGAACACAAACACAGAAGTTCAAGAGTAGAAGTAATTCATCAAGTTGCCTACATTCAACAGACACCTCTTTTAAGCGGAAATAAACACCGTCAGAACTTGAGTTTCAAATTTTAACCGATTACATTTTTCAAGATGACACAAACCACTCCGCTAAATTTTATTCCTGAAATGGTAGATTTGAAATACAGTCAATCATTCACTGCGGGGTATAAAGTCAGTACTTTTGCGCCGTTTGATAAATCTGTCTTTTAAGTATGCAACCTGTAATATGCGAATTATAGCATGGGTCCTGCGGATGTCAGCTTAGCTCATTTTCACTGTACATGGGTCTCTGAAAACTTCATCAATTTCTGAACCACCTAATTCTTAACTGTCAGTGGACTGAGGATTACAACAGTTGTAGTCTCCAAAAAAGTAATCATTTATGCTTCATATATAGACTCGGCGCTGATGTTTTTTCTAACAATGCTAGCCTATACAACTTGTTACACTTATTTTTTTCTGTGTTTTAATTTCAAGTCTTATATTATTTCAGCTGATTATTGAGGTTCATGGCAGTTATAACGAGTGCGAATGAAGTAGCCAGCAGTGCTATTTTCCTTTTGGCATTCCGTTTCCTATGGATGATAAATGCCGAGACAATAGCGAAGTAAAGTACTCTTTTTTTGTAAATGAATCTATTTCAATTATTGTCAAAAATATTCCTTGCCATTGATAGTGCCATTCCCCATTGTCTATTCCCCCCCCCACTTGCCCCAATTACCCCACCCCCATATCCATTTGTACCCCAGGTTGTAGACTACAGGATACAACTTTAGGACCTCGGCTGAGGCTCGACCCAGATCTTCTCGCCGGGGTCTAAGTAACCGAACTGCAAAATCTTATAAACTTTAACGATCAGGATTAGCATGTATTTGAGTGATTTTTTTCCTGCTTTTTGTCACCGTTCCAGGACACCGGAATATTGTTTCCGCCGTGATCAAGGGAATCCACAATACTTCAAAAATGAATCATGGCAGACGACTAACCTCGGGGAACTTCTTCAGCAAATGCTGCAGTGCTACGATTCACGAGTTAGAGTTGAACACGGAGGAAGTAAGTGGCGATACTGGAGCAAATGTCACAGGTCTAATCTTGGGATCAACCACTCCTTGCTTCTTTTTGATATATACACAACAATACGCACGGACTATAATTTTGTTCCCAGGTCTCGCGCTTATCCTTTTTTAAGTTAGAGATCTGGGTACCAGATGTAAACCACGGTTATGAATTCGGTTATGAGTGACGATATCAACATGCAATGCGACAAGAGGAAAACAAACTATGCCAATTTTATAAGCAAGACAACCACGCCATTTGAGGGCTAACCAACTTTTTGCGTTTCAGTAAAAACTGTGTTGACTGGTTTTTGTTTCAGGAGGGAATCCTACAGAGGTCCATGTCAGCATGTACATTTTGTCCATTGGGAATTTCCAAGTTCGCGATATGGTGAGAGGAGAAATATAGTGAAGTTTTCACAAAAAATAAAGCTCTCTAAAATTTATCACACCCTCCTAACTAACAGTTTAAACAGAGAGGAAACGATTACCATTACTTTGACTAAATCTTTTTCCCTAATATTTCAGGATTTCCAACTGTCGTTTTACTTCAGACAACAATGGCAGGATGCTCGGTTAGCTTATAAGAACCATTTCCACGAAGAAAAAATTACTTTGGGAGGAGCAATCCTAAAACAACTTTGGCTTCCACAGACCTATTTTGTCAACAAAAAGGGGGCCAGCGCAAGTACAGATGCCAATTTTTTTGTGCGAATTTTTCCCGATGGATCCGTACTTGTGATCACTAAGTATGTGGAAAAAGACTTTCGTCTAAACTTAGCAGGGGTCAAATTGGTTTTGTTTTACTTATTTTTGTGATTTCTTAAGGAAAACCGCGCCCAACTAGATTGAGAACTTAAACCGCGTTTTAAGCCTTCTTGAGTTTACAAAAAAGGAAGAAATTACTTCATGAAAAACAATTACCATCATTATTATTTTTATCATCATCATTTTTATTACTATTATAAAACTGGTGATTCCAGTAGATCCTGCCGATCGTTTTCGAAAATCATCGACGTACTGTCGAAGATTATCTTTAATAATCCGAATACTTTTTGGGATCTTCGAACATTTGAAGAATAAATGGGCTCCATTTTTTTTTTCTTATAAGAAATACTCTGACAATGGACTGCTACATGGATTTAAGAAACTTCCCGTTTGATGTCCAGAAGTGCAACTTGACTTTGGAGAGCTGTAAGTTTACAATTCATAACTTTATATGCTAAGACCAATTCCCATTTCCTACCTTATTGGGGCATTTGTCAGTGAAGTGTCGAGAGTGATCTGGGATTGCATTGGTGTTGATTTACTTCACTCTGTGATTGGTTCAGAAAACTCACGCCACTCTGTCAACCAATCAGATGTAAGACTAAAACCATTCATGACTTGGTCGCTCGCGTTTCCCGCGCTTAAGGCAGTTTGCTTGTTTTTACTTCCAGTTCTTATTGACTCTTGAGGGCATCTTCCTTTTCTTCTAATTGGCTGATTACCCCACTCAATCGAAAAGCGCTATACTTATACTATACTTATCAATTTCTATTCATTTCTTTTCTCAAAAGTTGGATTTACCACTAAAGATGTGGTTTATAAATGGGTTTCGACGGACAGCAGCGAAGCAGTGGAAAAGGATCCAGGGCTTACAACATCAGAGTTTGATATTGGTCCTATAAGAATATTCGAATCCACTACGATGTATAAAACAGGTAAGACATTGTTGAAGGCCAGTAATTTCTACTCACTGACTTCCATTATCAGTCTACTGTGTACGTAAAAGAACATGTTTTTAAAGGTTAGGTGACCGATTTTCAGTTATTCTCTTTATATTTGCGCACAGAATACACAAAATATACACAAGATCTACACAAGATCATAAAAACCACCCCCAACCCCCAACCAATGAAAAGCTGCCTTCCTTATAGGCTTGTTTTCATTCAGAATACTATGTTCGTTTTAGGGCTGTTTTCTGGTCTAAAAATGGAATTGAATTTCCAACGAAGATCTATTTATTATCTGATTCAAATCTACGTGCCAAGTGCGATGATCGTGGTTCTCTCGTGGGTGAGTAATGCTCTAAAAGTTGAATATCCTCAGCCTGACCATATTTTTCTGGCTTCTGACTTGTTGTGGGAGAGAAAAGAGGATTCCTCTTTTCTCTTTCAGGAGGAGGGGGAGGTGATGTTGACAAGAGGGCAGTATTGGTACCTTTTTTCTTAGGATGGGAAGGGAAGCGGGAGGAGTTTTAGCGTGGGAACTTAATGAAGATGAGCAAGAGTGCTGAATAGATAACTTATAGTTCACACGGTATTCGAGATGACCACCAAAGAGCCTTCACCAAATGATGCCGAAATTTCGAAATTATCAGTTCGCACTGCCAAAAATGATCGGAAAAGGGTAATTCTAATCTAAATGATAATATCATTATTATTATTACTATTATTATTATTATTGTTACCATTGTTATCATTATTATTATCAGATCTCCTTCTGGATTGACAACCAGTCGATTCCCGCCAGAACGGCGCTTGGCATTACCACTGTGCTCGCCATGACAACACTGCTATTTGGTGTCCAGTCTTCTCTGCCCAGTGTGCCGTATATAAAAGCTGTAGATCTGTTTATGATTGTATCATTTGCTGCTGTCTTCGTTGCACTGGTGGAGTTTGCGGTTGTTAATTATACAAGCATGCGTGAGAAGGAACAAAAGGAATCAAGAGCCACGAAAAATAAGTATACTGTGGTAAGTCGTTATCTTCCATTCACGAGCATGAAATACTATGGCATGATGGATAAAAGTGCTACCAAGAGAATATATCCTCTGGGTGGTACTCATGGTGCCATGAGATTCCATCCCACAAAGGTGTGATACTTGTTCTCCCACAAGTTTCATCATTTCCCGCTCTTTTCACCGGGCGCAGTACGCCAGTTCTCCCAGCTGTAAGTTTAGATGCACGTGGTAGCAGTTAAATGATTTCCTGCCAGTTATTCGCGTTTCCTGCAGATAAAAGATTTTCGTGAAGTTTGTGAAGGGTCACACTCCCTTTCTCCCTAAAAATTGTTAAAATTTTATTTATATATTTTTCCGTTTCGAAACGTGATTGAACTTTTACCTCCACAATAGAACCCAGACGTTGTTATGCTAAACTTCCGCAATTTGTCTTACGAGGGCGACGGAAAAGGTGAACATCATATGCAAAATGGCGTCGCCCACAACGGTACTGTGAACGATATTGAGAACGACAACGCTGATGTTCACAAGATGGAAGAACTACACAGTAACGGTACCATTGGTGAACACGCGCCACGTGATCGCAAAGATTCGTCGCGTGATCTGTCGCATGTCTTTGAACCTTCTCGCCCGAACAAGTGTCGCTGGCGATGTAAAGTTACAGCCAATGGAATAGACGCTTGGTCACGTATTCTGTTTCCTTTGGCGTACGGACTTTTCATTGTAGCTTACTGGATTATTTATTCAGCAAATACGGAGAAAAGTTCCTGATCTGTGTCTTTTGACAAACAAACAATTTTAAATTCGCTGAGCTTCTCATGTCCTTACACATATGCGGAAAGAACAGAGCAAATCAACATGACTCAAAAATAACTTTTAAGTACGAAATTAAAGGTAAACTGAAAAGAATAACAAAAAGAATACCTTCTTCGCCGGGTATTCTCCGTCATTCACTCGTTCGTTATTTTATAGCTGTGAAAATTCAAGGCACCGTTCTTGGAAAAAGATTTAAATCACGTTTGAATTGTCCCATAAATTTCAAATTGATTCTCTCTCTCTGACAAATGGGATAGGTATATAGTTATTGTACGTGCACGACGCATTTAAGAAGTCGTTTTGAAAATTTTCTGACCTTGGAATTTTCCAGGTTTTTGAAGTGTGAAACTTGGGAGTTTTGGAAAATAATCTTGACATTCAGAACGCAAAAAAAAACATGGACATTTCTCTTTTTAAAATACATTGGTTTGTCAAGGGCGAAAATGGAATGGATTTCATTTTTCTTCGTTCTGAAGATCGCATAATGTTTTTTTTTAAATGTATACTCATTAACAATAACGTTTGATGTGAATCGAGCATTTGTCGTGGATTTCTTCTCAAAGCCAAGGGTGTAAAGAGCTCAAGTAGCTTGGAATTATCGTTGTGTGCAGCGAAAGTCTGTCAATAATCCTCTGAGTAAAGTAACAGTTTGACTACGTTCCGTCCCTCCTCTTGGGCGAAGTCCTTTGCGCAAGTAAAAAAAATCAGTGTAAAAAAATTAATGTTAGCGCGCCGCACAGAACTGTGGGAGTGAGCGCACCGAGAGAGCCTCGGATTTTCAAACAGAGGCCTGAGTCCTCAATTTACCATCCGCCATCTCTTACGCTGGTAGGTAGCTAAGTGTAACTAATATAATAGACTTAGATTGCACATTTAGTTAAAGTTTAATAAAAATATTTAAAAGCAATTTATAGGAAATAAATACAATTAATATTCAATTGACTTTCAATTTCTGTGTATTGTCTTAGATACAGTTGGATTACTAATATTTGGATAATTTTTATCTGCTCATATACAAAGCACTTTTCAATTGAGTTTCGAAAGTAATCCGGGATTCCTTTGATTTTGCTTCAAATCGGTCTCTGATTGGTCTAGAAAATTCGCGCCACCATGCTCCCAACCAATCAGACGCCAACCGATACCCAACCGTGACTTGGTCGCCCGCGTTTTCCCGCGCTTTTGGTCGTTTGTCATTTTACCTTGAGTCCTCAATAGGCTGTTGTGATTACTTCAGTTTTGGTTTTACGACAATCAATTAAAAATGCTCCAAATCAATAAAATTCCTGTTTTTGTTTTCGCATGATTATTCATCTCCTTAAAAAGGAAACGGCCACTCAGTCTCCGCAATTAGGTTGAACACAAGATATTGTAATTTGCACGTATATTGACTAAACGTTTTTTTTTAAATAACTCAACGGGCACTATCTATTTTTAATAACTATAAAATAAACTGCACAATCTATTTAACCTTTTTAGCTATACGTTGTAGCGCTGTGATTGCTCCTTTGTGTAAATGATCTTTTTTTAGAACATCAAGAAAATAATGTCTGGCTTGTTTAAGTAAACCTTTGAGCTCTAGAATTCCTCCTAAGATGTACTCGGCGTTGATGTTGTACTCATCATGAGCGAGAACAAAACGGACTTCTTTTTCAGCGGAATCGAGTTCGCCCTGTCAGGTAACAGAGATTGTTTAGTCAGAAAGAGTACACTCCATTCTACACAACAAAACAACAACAATTTTTACAACAACAGTAATGAAGATTTAGCTACAACACTGAGATAAATAAGATGGCATCACAAAATATATCAGTTTCGAGTATTTCAAGTCTTAGTTTCCCTTGCATGCATCGATAACTGACTACAATTTCATTAGCCTCATGTTGTTATATTAGGTTACCTCTTGTTCTGTGACCGCATGTTAGAGTTAATTTCTTTTTCCTTAACAGGGGTGGATCCAGGATTTTGAGTGAGTAGTTTCCACCCGAGGACCCACTCCTGCTAGGGGGGTTCGGGGGCATGCACCCCCGAGAAAATTTGAAATTTGGAGCTCTCTAAAGGCCATTTCATGCATTTTTAGAAAATTTAATTGCCCCCAAAAGACTAAAAACCCAGACAGAACATAACTCACAAGTACTCTAGAAACAGCTGGTGCAAAAAATTATTACAAAATGTTTGCCATTCTCATTCTCCTAGGATGTAACTCAGCAAATAAATCTATTATACGTTCAAGGTCAAAATCCATGTCTCTGTGGGCATGCATCAGTGCCAATCCATTCAGTCTGTCCTGGGTCATTGTATTTCTCAAATAGTTCTTAAGATTCCGAAGGGATGATATGGATCTCTCACAAGATGCAAATGAAATTGGAATTGTGATCAGGACTTTCAGCATGGAATAGATGTTGACATATGCATCTTTGTCAATATCCTTCAGTGTAGCCTCCAAACTGTCAGGAATAATATCTCCTCTGTTATCCCTCCCCTTGCACAATCTCTCCCATAACAAAAGCTCTGCCTGTAATCCTGCATAATTTGGTATGTCCTGTCTGTAATGGTTACAAAATTCCAAAACATTGGCCTTCCAGGCAGGGTCAGTAGCTAGTAAAACAGAGGGAATAATCGAAATACCTTTAATACCTTTTATAATTTGTCTAACTTATTAGCGTTTCGCCCACACTGAACTCCAAAACAAACACAAGCTAAACAAAATGCTCCATCGAAATATTTGGAGTAAGCTAGCCATGGAAATCTTTTCAGCCAGCCCGAGACAAACTTACGAGATTTTCCATTTTCCATTGACACGGGGAAATCAAAAAGCTCACCTGGTTTCCACACGTTTTCGACGAACTCCAGCTTCTGATGCGGCGAGTAGTTGTGGATCTCGTCGAAAACTAGGCCAATGTCGAAGGGAGAACAATCCTCCCTCCGACAAACAGGATCTCCGCGAGTCATAACACTAGTATTTTTTAAACGTTTAACAGTAAATTCCGTCGTTAACCCCTGAGCAAGTTCAAAAGTACTTGTATTGTAGGAGCAACGAAAGAGACCCGCTGGGGGAGGAACTGCCCTTTTTATACTTTGTCAGTAGTTTCCAAGGTAGTTTCCAAACACAACTAGCCAATCAGAAGAGTGTTTTGAGTGAGTTCCGATGACGAAATCTTTGCTAGCCAATCGTGAGGGGTTTTGACTGTGTTCCGCCTGTTATTGTCACCAAATAACAAGGACTTACACCCACCGGTTGCGTAAAGATTGGCTCCACGAACATTTTCCGACGGCTTCCGACGGTTTCCGAGGTGTAATCGAAGCTCGAAAGGCCAGCGCGTGATCCGGAGCGCTCCCGAACGCCTCATGACCGCAATTATAACGAAATTAGTCATTCTAAACGTATTTTCTTTAATAAATAACTGTAAAACAGGAAGATGGTTTATTTCTGGAAGACGTTTAGTGATTTCCACAAAAGTATCAGTAGTTTCCAAAGGGAAATTAGAGTGTTTTCCAAAAGTACTTTTATCAACATTTAACTAGGTCGGAAAAAATTTGAGTGAGTTCCGGAAATCAGGTAAACTACCCTGGATCCACCCCTGCTTAACATGAAAAATTATAAGTGATGTAATTATTCCTGGATGGGACACCAGCTCTAAGCCTGGGCCTGGGTGATACTAGGTGAAGAGAGGTACTGTGAGAGAGTAAATGTCTTGCCCAAGAACACATCACAATGTCATTAGAGACCAAGCCATGGCTCGAACCCAGACCTCTCGATTAGGTGTGCGGTAACTTACCAGTCCGTCGCCGCTTCTCCCAGTAATAAAAGATACGTTTATAAAACAAAACAATAATTTGATAATGGTATTTTCATAATGTGATAACGTTGCAAGAGAAGAACAACAGAGCATGCCTCGGTTCACCTTCATAAGCTGAACTTGAACGAGCAGAAGACGGCTGTTGATGTCCAGTGGATCCAATGCTAATCCTTTCCTCAGGTACTCCTCCCCCTAAAGAAAACACATAATTTCACGCATCAAATAAACTGCTCAAATTATTCACTTTTCATTTACAATCCGTGTCAATCTTCCTCTTCCTTAAAGCATCCTTGTTTTTTATCGGTTTATTCTTACCATTTTGTTGCTTTTCGGATCAATATCAGTATCTGGGCAACTGCCCACTTACCCCTCCCCTAACTCAACAACAGTCAATTGATAACAAGTTAGGGTTAATGTTGGGTTAGGGGAGGGGTAGGTGGGCAGTTGCCCAGGTACTGATATTGATCCTGCTTTTCTATATTGCAAAACTACCATTTTTCATTTCCTTCACATTTACAGTAGGTTGTCACATCGCGGCTAAAAGAACATTACTTGAAATACAAACGACCGACAAACGATTTCCTCACCTTTTTGATTACTTTTTCGGTTCCATTTTTTCCCTTTTTCCTCAAAAGCGGCCACAAGAGCATCTTCCCAAGCGAGAAGAAAGGTATTGGGTCTGAAGGTGTTAATTTTGTTGTCTTTATATATTTCTCTTCTGCTTTCTGGACTCAAGAAAGAAAGAAATTTCTGAGTGATCACGTGATTGGATACAAAGGTTGAAGTATGGGACGCAGGCAATGGAGAATTTTGCTTTGAAAACCAGGGTTCTCCGCAAAATCCTGCTGCAGCTTAGCAGAGGTTAATTTTCCACCATCTTCCTACCTTTCGTTTTCCAAGCTTCTCCAAAACGACTCCATGAAAGTAATGCAGTTGTGGGTTGTTGGGTCTGAGGGATAGCGCCTTCTCATACTGTGCATCCGCTTCTTTCCATCTGCTGGTCACTCTAAACAAGTGCGCCAGGTTAATGTTGCCGTCTGCACTGTTTGGTTTGATTGACAGCGCTTTAAGGTAGCACTTCTCAGCTTCTTGTGCTCTATCTGTGCCAAGATATGAGACTTGAGAGGAAACGTAGGTTGTATGTCCATGAACTGGTTCAAGATTTTACACGCTAGGAACTTTTATAAAAAAAATTTTAATTGAGTGTCGAAAGCAATCTATCATCGCCCTGATTTTCCTTTTTTTCGCTCTGTGATTGGCCCAGAAAACTTGTACCACCACCTCAACCAATCAATTACAAATTCATACCAGTAACGACTTGGTCGAGCGCGTTTTCCCGCCCTTCGGGCTCTACGTGATATTCACTTGTTTCTGATTGGTCATTGAGATAACATTGGCTTTGGTTTTACCACCTTACCTGTGTTCAGGAGCACTAGACCCAGGTTCTCCCAGGCTGCAACGTAATGTGGTCTCAGACGCAAGGCCTCACGGTAATGTTTTTCACATGCCAAAAGACCCTGATGGAAAAAAAATCCATTATAAAAGCCAAAATTCATATCAGAGAAATTCAGGTCTTTCTACAGTAGGAGACAAACAAGCACAAGGTAGAGATTTAATCTGGCAAATTTTGCAGAAACTGCATTAAACAAATAGGAAAAACCATTCCGTAAGTTTGCAATAACAATCCACCAAAACAAAACACTAAATCTCCATTCAAACCTTCTTTGCAAGAACATTTCCAAGCATAACGTGAATCTTAGCGTTAGTGGGGTTCACTTTCAGTCCTGATCGGGCCAGCGCTTCCTTGTTCAGCCATTCTGAATTGCGGCGTACTGTCTTTGCAGCGAACAACAACAGAAGGCTGTGAACTAAAACCATACCAGTGGCAGAAAGACCAAAACTCCAACTTGTACGTGAAGTTTTTTGCACTAACATTTTATCAGAGTTCTAAAAACGGAAAGGTAAGAATACTGTGGTATTAACTGCATTTTTACTACACTGTAACAAAAATCGTGGGTTGAAAAAGAAAACATCGAGATTCCATTTGTTTCTAGCAGAAAAGTACTTAAGAGATCTTAAGCGATTTGAGCACTAAGTTAGTGGCTGTCCCCTTCAAACTGATTTGCTGCGCGGACTGATTGCAGACACGGAATCAACCTCGTTTCCAGGCCCTCCTTAGGAAAAGAACTTGTTCTGAACAGAAATCAGGGCTCACCTCATGTGTTGAGGAATCTTCTTCCACCTTTGTTTGGGTTCCAAACAAGATTGAGATTCCAAATGGAACCAAAATGCAGAGTCCCATACTGGGAATGTAAAGAATTCTCTCGGCGACAACAAACCCAACGGGCAAGAAGAGATTGGAAGCTGGTAGAAATGGTATGATCAATAAAGCCAATGAAAACATCACAACTCGTCTTCTTTGTGGAGACTCGCACTCATCCTGCAAAAAATCAAAACAAACAAAGGGATCCAGTTGACTTCTGATTAAACTGACCAATCAGGAGACACGCACGTGCGCAAGCGGCCTCGAGATTAAATTTTCCCGCACTTTTTTAAAGCCGACAATACTTTCTGACAGTTTCTACTCACCATTTTCAGTCCACAATGCTGAGACTCTGCATTCCTAAAATCATCTCTTAAATGAATATCATTTTCATTAGAATCTAGTGGCTTTGAAGAACTTTTCTTAGACTTTCTAGGTATAGTTGACGGTATAGTTGAAGACGATATAGTTGAAGACGGTATAGAAGACGGTATAGTTGAAGACTGAAGACCTGCAAGAGAACACGGAGAATAAAACTTATTCTCTTTGTATCTTAATTATAAATCAACACTGGGAAATAACTCAATCAATCTAGAGCTCTTAAATTATATTTGAAGGCATTTTATCCGTGTTATTTTGCAGAAGAAAAAAAACTGTCAAAATGAAGCGAAATAGATTTAACTTTCCTAAAAATACTCTGCTCAAACAAAGTGAAATGCACGTTTCAATAACACTAGGAAGCGCATGTTGAATCTCTCTTACCATAACAGCACAAACAAACAAGTATACCACTGAACACGAGCGTTTGCATATTGCGCATGTCCCACCATGATTCAATCCGGGATATGCTGTCCATGGACCAATCATAACACAGGCTGTTCGGACACAGTAGAAGTCGCGCATTTAGCGCGCACAAATAAGAGTAAGTCCTAAATCGAGTCCATACGTCAGGATGAAACAATGTGGGATTGTCGGACTCAGTGAAAGAAAGGACAAAACCTCCAGAGATGATTACAATTCTCAGGTACAGAAGAATTACAGACGCCAAGCCGAGGATGGAAAATCTTTCGACCAATCGAACGGCCCACTTTGGCCATTGTCTGAAAGTAAAGGAAAATTAACCCCGATAAGTACAGTCTTTTGGAGCGCATATCGTTTCATTTCCGTAACAACCAACATACAATCAGAGGAAAGGTAAATATCACAAGTAACAAAGATAACCAAAAGTAGACAAGAAAATTGCCAAAGTGCGGGAAAAACGTCACAAATGAAATCCGTTTTATATCTTACTGGATTTGAGGATGCATATTGATACACGAAGTCATCGGTATTAAAAACCTACAAAATTGTGATTCGATTCTTACCTTAATAAAACCGCAGGCGAAGAAAATATTTTGAGTAAATGTTCCCCTTTAAACTTGCAGACAAAAACCAAATCGTAAGCAATACAAACTTCTAAAACTGTGATGCCTTGTTCTTTGCTAAAGAGAGACAACACACACCAGAAGATGCACGAAGCAAGCCAAACCCTTGAATACTTAGCTGGTCTTTTACTGCTGTCCTCTGTGGTCCCATCAGGAAAACAATTTATGTACGACAACAGGGCTAAGAGGTAGAACAAGGCACAGAGGATTTCTGCACGACCCACGACATTAGCTACAGCCTCTGTATGTATCGGATGAAGAGCAAAGAGCATACCACAAAGAAGAGGAAGTGATTTAGTTTTAGAACCAACGTTGCCATTTAAAATCCTAATGCATGTATGGAAAAATAACGCCGAGACAATGCTATGTAAAACCACATTGATGAAGTGGTATCCTATTGGATTGAGGCCTCCAGCGAGGAAATTCCAGCGGAATGTCAAAACAGTTATAGGACGATAAGATTTGTGAGAATCGTTTCTTTTTAACGGAATGCCCCAAAAGTCGTTTGAAAACAGGTTAGAAATTGGCGTTGACGGCCTGCAAAGAAAAAAATTACTCTAGTCAGAATTAAGGTGAAAGCGAGGGGCTATACGTTTTCAAACGTATGTCAAAATGACATCTTCCAGCTAAATTAGTACATCTCACCGGTATTTTTTTCTCGTTGACACGACATGAAAGGCAATATTGTTATTCATAATCGCAGAGAGCTTAGGGGAAATTTCACTTGAAAGATGGTTTTCAAGAGGAAGTTTGTTGACTGAATTTGTGAATCAGCTTTCGAAAGTCAGTATGACAATGTTTACGAGGTGTTTGTCTTCCAAATTTCTCCCCAAAAACGACACTTTCCAATAACAAAGACGATGGCCAACGACTAAAAGTCAGTTATCGTGAAATTTAAGTCATTTCTGTGTTTTGCCGACCTCTCAATTAATTGCTTTGTTTTTTTCGCATTTTTACGCAGTTTCGTGACTTTCAGTGAACCCTCGAGCCTCTTACCGAAAGATAAACAAGAAATTCGACCTAACAGGTCATTTAGAAACCTCTGTGTCGGAAATCTATTTTTGTAATGTCAGATTAGTCAATTTAAGGCAAAATTTTCCCATCCGTTTGATCTCGGAAACAGCTCATCTGAGCTTAGTGCTTCACAGCTCTATTCTGTGAGCTAAAAGCTGAATTCGATCACAGAACTTCTTGCTAAACTCTCTTCTAAAAATGAACTTTGATTAATTTCCTTTCTTACATGACAAAAATTTGCATTTCATTTTGTTATTATTAATTTTGCATGCGGTCTTTAACTCAAAGTTAAATTATGCTAAGTAGATATAGACATATTTTTATTCCGTAAGCCATGGGCAAGCAGTTGTTTCTCGTCAAGTTTGTGGACTTGCTGTTACTTTTGGAAACCTTGCATTTCACAAAATTCTAATTTCATCAATCCGCTCTCAATCTGATATTATGTTATACTATTGAGTGACCGCAAATTAATGGTGTCAAAAGTTGTTTGTTAGGAAACCCTTTTTACATACCCGGCAGAAGGATATCAACCTGGTTTTCTTGAATCGACCGCGCAGTATTAATTCCATGATAAAAAATTTACATCTAAATGAATCCTCTTCATCACAACAGAATCTGGTTTAATAAACACGGTGGGATTATCGAAAAGAATGGCTCAGTTAAGCTGGTGGGAAAGTGCGCCTCGAGGCGAAATTACCGTATGATACAAAGCTATGTTTTTTGTCGGTTCAGCTTTCAACACCATCAAAAGTTTTCCCCGCACGAGAAGCTGGGTTTTTCTTTAACCACTTTTTACCCAGTTAGAAATGTGCCTTTATCTCGGAAGGTAAAGTTATCACTTTTGGTAAACAACGAGATTAAAATTGCAGGCAAACTCTTACCTAACATCTGCGTTCGTCTCGATGACTTCGAAGTCATCATAAACAAACTCGCCGAACAAGGAGTTCAAGTAACACGCAATTGCCGCGATTGCTACCAAAATGTATGGTTTTAAAGCACTGGTGTCATTCGATAAATCCTCTGTAGCTGTTCTCCCGTATCTCCTGTTTAAATTCTGTTCACGCGCCATTCTCTTGTCTGTATTTATCACCTGGCTACACAAAAACAATTCCGAAGGAGGCAGTCCTGCTCGCAGATGTATTTTTGATACGTCACGCAACGCAGGAAAATTACGTGACAACAAAAAATCGGTTTCGAGACTAGAACGTGCAGCATTTGGCGTTCGATAAAGATGTTGATAATTGAATTATCGGCATTTCACAGAAGTGGAACAATTAAAAATATGATTATCATAATTTATATGGATGTAAAAGCATATATCAATATGGCGGACGGTCACGTTTTTAGAGCTCTTAGATGCTGGATCATTCTGCTTTATTTCTACGTTTGTTTCTCTGGTGCACTCCTTCCCAAGGCTAATCCTGACCTCGATATATCTGGTGATACTCTTCTCTTCATTTCTCACGGTCTGACGACAGTGAGAATTCAACCTTTTAACCATCGGTCACCGAGCTCGCAACATGCAAAGAATCTCCAGTTGCCGAATTCAAGACTTCTACTCCTTGGATGCCGTTTTGCGATTAATTCCTCTCTTTCCTTACTACTCATTCGTCTCGCAAATGATGTTGAACTTCAACCTGGTCCTGTTGGCTCCTCTAGTTCACATGACATCCTGTCTGATCTTCGGGATTTGTCAACGAAAAATGGGCTTACAATTATTCATCAAAATATCAGAGGCCTCGTGGCGAACAGGGATAGTCTATGCCAAATGATCGATGATTCCAAGCATATAGACATCATATCCCTCAGTGAGACTCATCTATCGGACAGTGAAGAGGCTCAAGTTCAACTGGATGGCTATACGTTCATTAATAGACCAAGGAAAACAGGCAAAGGTGGAGGTGTGGGAGTTTATATCTCCTCTTCTGTCCCCTTTCATAGAAGACTAGACCTGGAACGCGATGGGATCGAATGTATCTGGATAGAAATTCTATTTCCAAAATCTAAGGGTATCCTTATTGGTTTTATTTATCGCCCCCGAGTTCTTCAAAGCATCTTTGTGCAGATTTTGAAAATAAACTGGAGTCGATGCTTTCTGCTGTATCATCTGAAAACAAAGAATGCATTTTGACAGGCGATATCAACTGCAACTATTTGGTAAGCTCAGACAACAAAGAACTGAAGGCAATGCTATTGTCTTTTGGCCTTAAACAGCTAATCAAGGATCCCACGAGGGTAACGCAAGATTCAAAAACACTGATAGATGTGATTTACACAAATCGCCCTCAGAATGTTTATAGTGTTAAAGTCATTCCCGCCGGCTTAAGTGACCATGATATGATTGGTTGTGTCCGGAAGCTGCATAACCATAAATTCCAGCCAAGAACCATCACCTGTCGAAACTATGCTAATTATGATCCTATATCCTTTTGCAATGATTTACGGTCCAATAGTTTCACACCTGTCTTTAAATCCTCCTGCGTTAATGAAGCATGGTCTTTTTTGAAAGCCATTCTGAAAGAATGTATTGATAAGCATGCGCCAGCTATAAAGAAGAGGATCAAAGGGAAACTCAGCCCATGGCTTACACAGAAGGTAAAGCAAGAAATGAATACCAAAGATCAGCTTTTGAGAAAAGCGAGAAAGACAAATCGTGAAATTGACTGGTCTTCGTACAAGCGCCAACGAAACAAAGTTAACGGTATGGTAAAAAATTGCAAAAGCAGGTATCACCGTGAACTCTTAGAGGAGACTGTGGGTTCACCTAACAAATTTTGGTCAGCTATTAAAAAACTATACCCTACAAAGTCTACAAAGGAACCAGGAGCAGCTTTTCTCGTTAATGAAGCAGTAGAAACCGACAAAGAGGTTATTGCAAATTTGTTCTGCAAATTCTTCACTGATGTTGCGCGATCTCTAAAAAGAAAGATCTTCCCTCTTTGCAATTTTGTCTGGAAAAGGCCCCTTACAATAGACACCCAGCAGCCGCTAGAGAACTTTGAGTTTAGATCAGTCTCGGAAAAGGTTGTCTTTAATGCATTAAAGAGCCTTAAGAGAAATAAGTCCTCTGGCCTTGACAACTTTCCTTCTGGAATGTTAAAGGACTCTGCTGATATAATAGCCAAGCCTCTCACGCATATAATTAACCTGTCTCTCGCAACAGGGTCTGTACCTACTGACTGGAAAGCGGCTAAAATTGTACCACTTTTTAAATCTGGTTCAATGGCCGAAATCGACAATTATAGGCCTATTTCAATACTTCCTTCAATGTCAAAGATCCTGGAGAAAGTGGTATTTAAGCAGCTGATGGCTCATTTTGAACAGAATGGTCTACTTTCTCATTTTCAGTACGGCTTCCGTCGCATGCGCTCTACTGAACTGGCCGTTACTCATCTTACCGATGTTATCAGAAGAGAAGGTGAGAATGGTAACCTGACAGGCTGTGTTTTCATCGATCTATCCAAGGCGTTTGACACCATCAGTCACTCTGGCCTCCTGAGCAAGCTTTCAACTTACGGAGTTCGTGGAACAGAACTCGCATGGTTCACTGATTACCTTTTCTGCAGATCACAAGTTGTCCAATATAAAGGCGTGCTATCAGAACCTCAACCCATTCTCACAGGTGTTCCTCAGGGAAGTATCCTGGGTCCTATCTTATTCATTATCTTTTTCAACGATGTACATAAACCGCTTCAACACTCGAAGATTATCACTTATGCCGACGATTCAGTCATCTATACCTCTTCTAAAGATATTGATACTATACAGAGAAGCCTTAGCGAGGACATGAATAACCTGTGCGAGTGGTTTAAAGACAACGAACTGATCATTAACCTAAAAAAGGACAAGACGGAGTCTATGTTATTTGGAACAGCTAAAAGAATCAACCTTCAAGACAAGGAACTTAAACTTTCTGTTAATGGGTCACTCATCAATAATACCTCTACCTATAAGTACTTAGGTGTTCACCTTGACTCATCACTAAACCTCGCATCACATTTTGACCGAATCTATAAAAAAGCTGCAACCAGAATCAATCTCTTGCGATCAATTCGTCCTTTGATCGACCAAAAGTGTGCAGAATCGATCTATAACACTATGATCGCACCTATCTTTACCTATTGCGGAACACTTGGTCTTAGCTTTCCGGATTACCGAAAGGAAATGATAAAGAACATCGAACGACGAGGCTTTAAAGTTATCGGCAATAGTTCTTTTAATCCCCCATCCGTGAACAATTTGATCAAGCGTAAAAGCTGTCTGTTTGTTTTCGACTGTCTCCTGAATAATGTTTGCACACCCTTTAAGAACTACTTCGAAAGGCTGGTTCATTCTAAGGCCACTAGGAATAACGGTATATCAGTGAAATTACCCAAAGTTCGTTTAGAATTTGGTAAAAAGAGCTTCTATTACCAAGGAGCAAAGACTTTCAACAACCTGCCTGCTGAACTAAGGTCGTTAGATTCGAGACTGAAATTTAAGAACAAATTGCGAGATTATTTTAGTTAAATTCTATCTAAACGTGGTTATAGGTATCCTTTTCAGAGCATTTTTATTTAATTTTTAATTTTTTCATTTTATTGTATGCTTTTCTAGACCTTAAGATCAATGATTATATCTTGTTAAATTTTATTTTATTTATTTATTTATTATTTTTGACAGGACCCCAAGGACAACAGTGTTACACACTGATGGGTTTTTCAATCCTGTATAAAAATTCGTTATTATTATTATTATTATTATTATGCGAAATATGTCGAACAAAACTTTTATATGGAGCTCTGGAAAATCATTAACCAGCAAAATACAAAGACTGAGAAGGTTTACAAATCACATTACATTAATAGATAACTAAACTAGAAAATATAAATGCATTCACACAAACTGTTTCCTAAAACCAACTTAATCCTTTCGGTCCCTATATCTCATTAGTAATTCTTGTTACTGTCTGCCATACAATTATTACGATGTTGGTTTGGAGAATTTAGAATTGGATGACAAATGATCCAACAATTGATATTTTTCTTTATTCTCATCACTTGCCCACTTTAAGTTGTTCTGATATCGTAAGGAGAAATTCTGTCTCGGTCACTCCTGCAAATTCAAGGGTTAAGCTCCATAATTGTCATATTTTATGTTAAGTCACTTCTCAGATTTTTTCAGGCAGCTTTATAAAAGGGTTTTTAGCAGGAATTCTTGAAAACTTTCTGAAAAGACCCTTCCTTCATTTCATATTTCATTTCAGTGTCGTAGTCTTCTTTAACCCTTTAACTCCCAAGATCTGTTTGCTAATTCTCCCCTCTATCTGCCTTATTTCCTTTCAACTTAGTTACAAGAATTTGGTCTTAGATCAAGACAACTACTTCTACCTGATAAGTTTGAGTATTCTCAATACCTCTATGTTGGATAATGTATGGATAATATAGAGAGAACTTACATGTTGATCACTTCTGAGAGTTAAAGAGTTAGGCTTAAGTGGAGAGACCTCTTACCTCTCAATTTTATTTTCATGCCACACTGTTCCCTGTTTTGCAATGTTCTAAAGTAGACAGAAGATGGACAATTCAATCTTTTTTTTGTCCAATACATTTTTTGTAAGCTTATATACTAGAAAAAGCTTAAAAACATTAAACCCTGATTTGCCAAATGTATTAATTAGTACAATATTTGGGAGTAACACTTCTTTAATCAACCAAGATTTCCAAGCCAAAGAAACAATAGGTATTTGTAATTGGTGGCTGGCTGAAAATTGATTATAAAAGCTTGTAATATTCTCAAGAGACAGTTGCTATATCTTCCTGCAAATATTTCCTCCTGATATCTAAAGCTTGATTAAAGAGATTCATGTCCATTCCATCTATACAAGTAGCAATTCTTGCTCGTAAAATAATGTTTTCGCTGACATAAACTTCTCCTATAAATTGATACAAAGATCCTCTGTTAAAAGCCGTTGGTTCCACAAATGAAGTATCGATGTTCAGTTCAATGCCTTCATCGCACACTTTTAGTTGACTTCTTGCGATGTTATGTGTCAGTGCCCTGTAAGTTAATACAGAAATATGTCACTTAAAAAGTCCAAATAATTGAGATCCATATATAAGGAAGAGTTCTAAATACCCACCCCTCCCTCCCACTTACAGCCGTTCG